CGGCCCGGCCGCCGCCGCGCGGCCGCCCGCCCTGCTGCCCACACCTCACCCTCCACGAGGAGGCGCGCGGTGGAGCGGTCATCGAAGGCGTCGCAGGTGTACGAGTCCTCGTCCTCGGGGCCCACGTGGTGGATGATGAGCGTGCGGTAGCAGTCCAGGTTGCAGATCTCGTACTTGTCGCCGGCGAAGATCTCGGTGTCCCCGCGAAACCAGCGCACGCGGCCCCGGGCGTGCGACACTGTGCACTCCAGTGTGGCCTTGTGCCGCGCCAGCACCGTCTTGTCCCGCAGCGGCTTCACGATGCGGATGGGCAGTGCTGGGGTGCGGGGCCGTGAGCGTGGCGCTGCTGGCACACAGCACACGGCCGCGGCGTGCCCCTGCCGCTTACCTTCAACCCGCAGGTTTGCCTGCGAGACAGCCATCTTGGCCTCAAAGCGGATGAGCCCCGCGTCCTCGGGGCGCACGCCGCACATGAGCAGGAAATGCTTGGTCCCTGCGAGGGAGGGAGCGGCTGAGTGAGGGCCGGGGAGAGGGGAGGGAGGCCCCGCTTTGCCCAGCCAGCCCCTGCCACACAAACTCTGTTGTGCCTTCACCTCACAGCAGTTTACCCTTTCCCCAGTCTGAAAGCGCACGAGTTAGCAGAGCGCTCACCTTCTTGCCGTATTTTCACTGTGCTGGTGACCTTGATTTTCTCGCCATCCCGGAACCACTCGCCCTTTACATCCCCGTGCGACACCTCGCACGTGAAGACGGCGTTCTCATCCTCCCGCACACAGGCGTCCTGCAGCTCCTGCACAATGCAGACCTGGCGCTCTGCGGGAGACGGCGCAGGGGCTGCTCTGCAGGCGGGGGCCCAGCCTGCGGCTCCCGTGCGTGGGAATGACCTGAGAGGCTGCGCGACCTGGGAGCGGGCAGTGGAAGTCCCAACCTGCGGGTCCCCCGGGGCACTGAAGGGCAAGGGAGATGCTGGCACAAGCACCAGCCAGAGGCTGCAGGATGCCCATGGGTCCGTTTGCACCCACCCAGCTCCACAGAGCAGTGTGGGTCCCCCCGTACCGTGGACATGCAGGGTGGCCGAGGCCTGGCAGTCGCCCGCATCGCAGCTGTAGACGCCGGCATCAGCCAGCTCGCAGCTGCTGAGCTGCAGGAGCCGGCGCCGGCCCGCCGAGTAGATGCGGCAGCGGGGCCCGGGCCGCAGCTCCGTCCCATCCTGCCGCGGGGAGCGAGCGGTCAGGGGGTGCCGGGGCAGCACCCGCACTGCTGCGCCCGGCTGGGGCAGGGCCGAGTCCTCACCTTGTACCACTTCACCTCGGCGCCAGGGCGGGACAGCTCGCACTCGAAGCTGGCAGCCCCCGTCTCCAGCACCCCGACGTCCCGTGGGACCTTCACCATAGTGACTGGTGGCTCTGAGGGGAGAGGATGCAGGGCAGAAAGATTTGGCAGCGACGCACCTCAGCGCCAGGCCACAAGGGCAGCGAGCTGGGCCAGGGGCGTCTCTGCACAGGGCTGCGCTTCTCAGGGCGCTCCTGGGGCCAAGCAACCCCTCCGCGACCCTCCTGCTGGTGACCGTACCCCGCACGAGCAGACGGGCGCTGCAGCGCAGGGTGTTGGCAGTGAAGGTGACGGTGCCCGAGTCCTCCAGCGTGAGCCGCTGCAGCGTGAGGCTGTGTGCGCAGCCTGCAGCGCTGATCCGGCATGTGCTGCTGGGCTTCACCCGGATGCCGTCCCGCGTCCAGACGCCAGGCACGCCGGCATGAGACAGCTCCAGGTGGAAGGTGGCTGTCTCCTTCTCAAAGGTCTCCACGTCTGCTAGTGGGGTCTGGATTGACACCTTGCGAGCTGCAAGGGAGAGGGACCCATGTCCACCCCTGGGGTTCCGCTTCCCGACTGCGGAGGCCGCCAGGTGCCCAGGTTTGCTGCATCTCCCTTCACCAGGTTCCTGCTCGCAGCACTGCCCACCCCGCATGGCGCACGCCTTCGTGCGGATACTCACGCTCCACGCACAGCTTGGCCTGCGTGCGGTCGTGCAGGGTCTCGCAGCGGTAGGTGCCGCGGTCGGAGGGGCTGAGGCTGCGGATGGTGAGCGTGCGCCGGCGCCCCGACTCCTGCAGCTCGTACTTGCCGCCGGGCTGGAGGAGGACGCCCTGCTTCATCCACTGCACCTCAGCGGCCTCGTGGCTCACCTCCACCTCCCGGCACGCGTCCGGCT